GCTGCGTGGGGGGGGGGGCAATGTGTAGCCTGCATAATTAAATTGTAAACCGCCCAGAGAGTGCTTGAAGCGCTATGGGACGGTATATAAGCAGCACGCATTGCTTTGCTTTGCTTTGCTTTAACATGCTTGATTTTGTTCCATGATTATTTTCTCCATTTGAAAACATACAGAGTAACTAAGCAGAATGAGAGAAGGAGATAATGGATTCCTACACATTTGTCACATAAAATCTACAAAACCCCTAGGGCACATTGTGTGGTATTAGCAATTCCAGGAAATGAAATGTATTTATAAAAAGTGAATTTAAATTAACACAAACAGTACCAAATATAACAAGGAAAGATATTGAGAGAATGCTAGTGCATTTTTTGATCTTGCAAAAATACTAAGATCAAAGCTAGAAAGGGACTGTGTCTGTTACTAAGCCAAAATCTAAACCACTTACCAGCCCATCACAGGTACTAATAGCTGCCAATCCACTTTCTTGCTCCTGGTTCTGAACTGACCCAATCAAATGACATGAGTTCTGGTTGTGAGCTTGTATTTTAGCATGAGCTATACCTCCGTATCGTTTCTCACTAACAAAGCCAGGAGCTAGAAGCTGGCTATTAAGACTCAGGTTAAACCTCAGCTGCTGATCTCCATAGTACAGTTTATAGAAAGCCAGGGGACGATTCTGTGAGAGAACATCCCGTCTGTAGAGAAAACGGTAGGACAGGTTGTAGGAGATGAAGAAGCCTCTCTCATCGATTTTGACAGGGTAAACAATGTCAGAGGTAGAATCTTTCACATGGATGGATCCTGCACCTGCAATGAACACTTTGAGACAGTGAACAAGAAAGAGGAAGCACTAGGCCTTTCACAGAACCATTCGGCAACCAACATGTTCACTTACATCGGTTGCATGCCTCACTGAGCACTCTTTTTGTGTGGGCATATAACACAATACATATGAAAAACATTTAAAACTATATTGGCTAGAATCCTATTTGAGTTCATGTTTGGGTAACTAGCTATGGCTAGCTGCAGCTAGTTGACAATGCAAAAGGATGCATATCAGTTAAACATGCAGGCATTTCAGCAGGTACACCAATGAGGCATTCCCCAGACCTCATCAATTCGCTTCAATTAGTCATAGAAACCTTATGGGAACACCAGTAGGAGTCTTACTACAGTATTATATGCTGGAAGGGGCCCTATGGATCATCAATTTCAGCCCTTGCCAAGGAGGCACAGTGGGGAATCTAACTCCCAACTTCTGGCTCTGCAATCAGATACCAAAACCACTGAGCTATCAATCCTCATAGCATCTTTAAGACTAATTTATTTTAGTGTGAGCTTTCATGCACTAAAATCCTCCTCTTCAGACACATGGGCCAGAATTGTATTGGGAATTCACATAAACTTTGCACAGCTTGTTGTAGCTAACTGATGAGATGCCAGAGCACACTGATCAAGCACACAATCGAAACATTCCATGGCACACTGTCAATTAGCCACCATAAGTTACACAAACATTACTCAACATTTAGAATACTGTCTATGAAGTACAGTGGACCCTCGACTTATAGACGGCTCCACTTACAGATTTTTTGAGTTACAGACTTCTCTGGCCGCAAAATTTAGGTTCAACTTGCAGCCAGAGAATCGACCTACAGACCAGGGGTAGAACAAAATGGAACAAAAACGGCCAGTTACGGATTAATTGGTTTTCAATGCATTGTAGGCGAATGGAGCCTCGACCTACAGACTTTTCGACCTGCAGCTACCGTTCCAATACGGATTAATTCCGTAAGTCGAGGGTCCAGTGTACAAAATTGGGGCCACAGGTTTATATATAAAATATTACACAGACAACAACTGATTATTAATGGTGACAATGAACGTTCAAACTCTTGATTATGTAAGTATCCTGGTGACAGATACAGTAATTTACTAACACAAAACATCTGTAGGTTTAGACTTTTGTCTGTGAGCAATGAAGTAATGAGTTCCAGGCTCAGGAAAAAGTTAGTTGGGCTGGGGCTACTTACACTGCTGTAAGTAAGAAGCCACTGCATTTTCCACTTTTTTAGGAAACTAACTTTCAAATATCCCTAAATTTAGAGCAACAAATTTTATCAGGTGCAATGCAGGAGCAATTCATGTGTCTAGGCAAATAATGAAAACTGAAACAATTTTTCAAACTTAGGCCACCATGCCCCTGAATCCCTAAATCTCTAAGGCAGTGCTTCCCAACCTTGGGTCCCCTAGTGTTCTTGAGCTACAACCCCCAGAAATGCTGGCCAGCACAGTTAGTGGTGAAGGATTCTGGGAGTTTTAGACTAAGAACATACAGGGACCCAAGGCTGGGAACCATTGTTCTAATGCAGCTGCTGTATGTCTTGGGTACTGCTTCTGCAACAGAGGTCTAAAGCAGACCTGGGCAAAGTGTGGCCCGAGGGCCACATACGGCCTGCGAGCCGCTCCTGTCTGGCCCACAGACAGTTTTGAACATCAAAACCATTTATAGCTTTTTGTCTAAAGTTGATCAGTTACTTATCTTTAACATACCGCAAAAAAACTCTTTAGTATTTGTGAAGATTAACAAGTTTAAAATAAAAACAATCATAACATCACTGTTTCATTTTACGTATTTTTAAGTAAAGTTGGTTCGGCCCCCCGAACAGAGTTCAGATTTTTCATGTGCCCCCCCTATAGAAATTAATTGCCCACCCCTGGTCTAAAGAGTGACTGAGAAGACAGGCAGATTCATTTTCTCTCTCCCACTTGTATACCTCTGAGCTGGGAAGAATGTTTGAACAAACAGGGAATGGTGTGAGCCATGGAAATAGTTTCTCCCAACCTACTTCTATTTTTCATGAGCCAAATTTAAATTGGTGCCTGGTTCTCTCCCCTCCAGTGGACAAGAGAACATTCCACCAGGTCCTCCATTTGGGAAGAAAGCCAGAGTCAGACTCATGAAGTAACAAAAACCGATCCTCTAATTTTCATATGAATTTTACAAAGGATGCCACCAAGATCACTACTACATCAGAGATTGCACAGCGTCTTTGCAGAATGAATCATAACCACCACATGTTCAGCACTTATCTGTGCACTATAGCATAAAAACATAGATCCAAAGCACACATCCTCATAGACTTGAAAGATTTTTACATGAATTCCACCTGAAACTACAAAGATTACATTTGTGCCCAAAGACTCAACAGCAAAAATCATGGATCCACCACTATATGGTTTAGCCACAGTGTAAAACATGGATCTGAGGCAGGAATCCGCACACGGCCTAATATTTTTATAATGAAATCTTAAATGCCATGCCCTGCACAGATGACTCTTCTAGGGAGGAGGAGACCCAGGATAGCATGCCCCACCTGGGGAAGCCCAAACTGGAGGAAATACCCAACTACCCACTTGGGTGCCACTCTCTAGACATATAGTTGTGCCTTGCAAGACGATTACCTCGCGAGACGAAAAACCCGCAACACGACTGTTTTTTGCAATCGCTATGGTGCCTTGCAAGACAGTTTCTTCTACGGCCATGCTTCGCAAGACTTCCCCCCCCCTAGACTGACGCCTCGCAAGACGAATAAATTTCATTCGTCTTGTGAGGTTCCCATAGGGAACTTCACAAAACAATTTTTTTGCAAGACAGCGATTCTCGCGGAACGAATTACATTAGTCTTGGGGGGCACCCTGTACAAGAGACAGAGGCAGAACTGGAATCCTCTAGAAAGGATCCAACCCTCCAGATCTTCCCCTTCCAGAGGGTGGGGTCTCAGATAGTCTTTGGGGAAGATCAATCTGCAAACCCATGAAGAGAATGCATTTTAAGGCACATGTCAGCTAAGCCTAACTGAAACAAAGTACAGTGGTGCCCCGCACAGCGAGGTTAATCCGTTCCGGATTAACCTTCGCTGTGGGAAACATCGCACTACAGAACAGAAAAAGGCATTGGAACACATTAAACAGCGTTTAATGCGTTCCAATGCCATAAAATACTTACCGTTGTGCGATGTTTCCCAGGGGCCGGCAGCCATTTTCGCGCCCTCCCCTCGCACAACAAGGGCGCCAAAATGGCTGCCATCAGCTGTCCGGCGGGTCCAAAATGGCAGCCATTTCGGGGCTTCCGCAGCGTTTTCGTGTGCTCCCCTTGCTTACCAAGGGCGCGAAAATGCTGCACCCCGGCCCCTTTCGGCTGTTCCGGCGGCCATTTTGAAGCCGCGGAACAGCTGATCGGCGGGTCGCAAAGCGAAGGTCGGTAAGCGAGCAGCTTACCGACCTTCGTTCTGCGATTTCCCGCCTATACGGGCACCGTTTTGCGATCGCATTTGCGATCGCTAAAACGGCCTCGTAGAGCGAATTCATCGCTCTACGAGGCACCCGTTGTGCGAGGCACCACTGTACATAGTCTCAGATGAATAGTTTCCCTTCGTGGCAGCAGATGCAAAGAACTATGTAAGCCCCAGGCCAGAACAACTCTGTCTCTGCTCTTAGGATTCCTGCAATCTCTGGCTGACTGCCCCAATGCTCTGTTGATGTCTCCTTTCCTGGCATTACCACCTGTCTGCAACCATCTTCTCTGTTCAGTAACCTGGCCTGCTTTTCAAACTTCCTTTCAACCTCCCCCCTCCGAAATACTGTCCTAGAATGTTTTATGGATCCAGCTGGATGAGTCCTCCAGCAAAGACAAGACAAAATCCATCCAAACTTTATATAGAGGAGGGGAGGAACAACAAGATCCCACAATTACAAGATCCTCAAAAATTCAAGAGGTTAGACATCGAGATAAAAGTGGCTCTGCATCAAAAGAGAAAACTGATCTACACCTAGGCCATAAGAGACATGAGTACAACTACCCTGTTTCCCCGAAAATAAGACCAAACCTGAAAATAAGCCCTAGTATGATTTTTTGGATGCTTGTAATATAAGACCTACCCCAAAAATAAGTGAAACCCCGCCCTCCACCATTGTGCAGCAACCAAAAGATGACATGACTGTAATTGAATAAATGTACAGTAGATTGCTGTACATGAAAAAAATAAAACATTCCCTGAAAATAAGCCTTAATGCATTTATGGAGCAAAAATTAATATAAGATTCTGTCTTATTTTTGGGGAAACACAGTAGAAGCAAGGTGAAGTGCTCACTTGTAAAAAAAGACTCCTTGGGAAGAGAGTCCTCCTCAAGCGTAGGAGTTCATCCCAGGGGGAATAGCTGGCCACATCATACAACTGAGTTCATTTCCAAGCAGGCCTCAACTATATAAACTTCAGAGTTTCTTGGAAACAAGGTATGTTGAAGTAAACTTTGCTCACTGCATATCCTGATCATTCTTTGGCTCTCTGTGATTTCTAGAGGCCTTAACTACACTTCTCAGATTCTCCCTGGTCATTTACTGTTACTACTGAACTAGCTTAAGTCTGGATTGCTTTTTGACTCTGAGTTCCCCACACTTTCTTGTGACTCTCTGGTAGGACTGTTTCCTAGACCTCTGTTTTGCATTTGACCTGCTTGCCCCTGCCTGCTATTAGTGCCTCAGATCCTTGCAATATTGGGAGCAGGACACTGTGCTATCCAGCTATTTGGTACTTACAGTAAAAAAACAAGGACAACAAATGGTATTGATAGACACTGGCTGTATGAGAAGGTAAGCGACATCTCTAATTTGATGGTGCATCTTTATAGGGGCATCATTTCTAAAGGTAAGAAGAACTGCTGTTTATTTCATGGACCTGTGCTTTGAAATTTCCCCAGACCATTTACGCCTGTTCACAAGCTTAGGTCAGTAAAGGATTAAACTAACTCTCCAGGAATATCTTAGAGAAAATGGGCTGTGTATCACAAAGCAATTGTTAGCGTACTTAAAAACAACAGTACTTCATGTTAGGAGTGGAGTTTTGCTCAAGCAACAAAGATTTTCCACTGTTAGGAAATGGGATGATCCAGGCCTAGAGAGAAAGGGCAGAGGGAGTAACTTGTGGCGAGGAAATGGGATGATCCAGGCCTAGAGAGAGAGAAAGTGCAGAGGGAGTAACTTGTGGCTGGATTTTATGGAAATACAGACTTCAGTCTTTCTTGATGAATGCCACAAATATAAAATGGCCTACAGATGTTTTCTTCTCTCCCCCCCTTTCCCCCCTTGAGATTTATAAAAGCTGTAAAACCTGGTCACCTGAATTTATGCTCGGGAACCTCAGTCTCAGGGGCATAATAACCCCCTTTCCCCACCACTCCAAGGGGAGCGGACCATGACCTGCCCGGGCGAAGGAAGGCGCGCTGTGGCCGCCTGTCCGTTCCTCTCCTGGGGAAGACAAAAGGACCCGGAGACCAAGGCTAGGCAGGCAAACCCGGCTGTAAATGGCGAAGCCGGAGGAGGCTTCTCGTTACCCACCTCGGATATCGGCGCAGCCCCCTCGGGCCAAGAAGGCGGCCACGAGGACGAGCGAGAGGAGGGCCATATTGAGCCCGGAGGTCCTCAGGGCGCTCGAAAGACAACGGCCGGGAAGATCGCTATGGCCCTGATCCCCTGGGCCGCTGAGGGGAAGGCTGCCGCCCGCTCCTTCATGCTGGCGCCTTCAAGCTGGCCCCGCCTCTCCCTCTGCCAGAAGTGGGCGGCCGGGCCTCCCCAGGGAACCAGCAAGGCGGCTTCTTTGCTGCCGCGCCTATACTGTATCAGTGCAGGCGCGCCCTCTGCTGGAGACTGGGAGATTGGGATTAATTGGGTCCCAGCTCTGCTCCTCTTGCTTTTTGCTCGTGAGAATAGCCCGAGGGAGACATTAATAATGGCATTTTCTAGAGGGAAATATGTAATGGAAAGAAGCATAAGCTCCCCTCTTTCTTTTACTGTCATCCTCGCTAGGCTCCATTTCTAATAACTGAAGGGATGAATATTTTGTCTGTTTACTGACTTCCAGATGAAACAGGTTTCAGGCTATTTTTTGTACCAGCACCTCCACTAGTAAGTTGTTTCACCCAACGGAATACAGGATATACAGTAGTTCTGTTCTATCGGAGAAATGAGCGCCACCACATGCGTGCGGGATCCTTGTCCTTCCTGGCTTTTAAAACCCACGGGTTGGAGGGACTGTCGGAGTGGGTAGAAGGAGCAGTGAAAAATACCTCCTTGCAGCAGGAGGGGATCCCAGTGTGCTTCAAGGAGGCAAAATGAGGGCAATACAAATAACAATTCTGAAAGAATAAACATTCTTTATTCTTTGTGGTGATTTATCTTATTTAGAAAAAGGATGGTAAAGAAAGACTAGTGGGAAGGAAAACAGGAGCAGCTTTTTACAGTAAACATAGGATTTTGAGGGTGTTTTAAAAGTGGGTTACCTGCACGCTGCATATCTTTGAACTTACATATTTTAAGAAGAACTCAGAATGTTGCTTCCTGTTTAGCCCAGTATCCTAAAAGAAACCATAGCCCTTATAATGCTGGGAAGTCACAAGTGCCAGGGCTGTTTCATTAAGGTCAGTCATTCCACATATGGACTAGTTGTCTACAGTCAAGCTGAAGGTCCATCCATTATACTGGTCACCTTAACAGCAGGGTGCCAGCAGAGACATGGTTGACAGACAATCCAGGTTGTTGGAAATTCCAAGGAGTCCTGGCAAGTAGGAATGGGTAATAGGTGTAAGCATTATCAGTTGTCTATCACAAACTGAGCTACCCAAATGCACAGATGTTATAGTTCTCAGTGTATTGCTCCCAGCAGCCTGCTTTTTCCAATTAGTTATCAAGGAGCTTTGAGATGCTGCCTCCACTACTGCTCCAGTGTCTGATCTTATGCTATTCTCTCTGCCAAGCTGTTTCTCATCAGAGATCTCACATGCAGAGCTGGCAACAGCTGTCCTTTCTGAAACTTCTGAGAAGGGGGTGTCAGCTCATCTATCACATTGCCTTTCTGAAGATTGCCAGATGAGAAGGCATGACACTCATCTTTCCTCACTCCCCAGTTCTGATTAGCAGAAACAGTTGACAAACGTCATAATGGCCAGAATACTATTGATTATAAGTATGTAAGTATGAAGGTCAGAATGTAACTCCCAGCCTCCCTCAAACAGCGTAGGGTATTACTGTATGATGGCAGGAGAAGACTGGGAATTGGCCGAAATGTAACTTTTGCAGGCTTTGGTACCAGTCACTTCAATAGTTAATGTTGCTTCTACTCAGTCCCGATTGCCGCAACGGGTGCCGGCTTCCAACATTGCCCCGACTGCTGCGCGGGGTGCCGGTGCTTTGGAAGCCTGGGAAGCTGGCACCCGGTGCAGCGGTTGGGGCAGCTTTCGAAGCCCGGGAAGCTGGCACCTGGGTGACAACTTCCTGTGCTTCCAAAGCCACCCTGACCACCGTGCCAGGTGCCGGCTTCCAAAGCCACCCCGACCGCTGCACCCAGTGACAGCTTCCTGGGCTTCCAAAGCACCAGCACCCAGCACAGTGGTCGTGGCGGTGTTGGAAGCCCGGGAGGCTGAATCTCCCTTTTCCTAACTGTTGGGGTGAAGAAGCAGCCTCTTCAACACCAATGGTTTGATTTTCCTGCCCTTTCCCCCTTGCCTTTTTGTGTTCGTAAGTGGAAGCTCCGGCTGCAAGTCGAAGCAAAATTTTGCAGCCAGAGCTTTTGAAATTTTCATAAGTAGGGACTTTCATAAGTCGAGGCACCACTGTACTTGCAACCTCCCTCCTTCAAGCTACATTCTCATACCATCATCAGAACAAAATCTATCATCAGGCTGTAACGGTCTTCAGAAAAACATTCTCATGGTGCTTAAGAAAAACACATTCTAAAGTCCTTGGAACAACTTAACACAGAAGCATTCTGATTCCATTTTACATTTCTCTGACTACAGATCCCATCATTGTGCTATCAATTTGGTGCCTGGGGCACCTCTTCCTGTGGCATAGATCTACCTCATGTTGGAACCAGAACTTGCGGCCTTGTGGGCCTTTCTTGATAAAAATCTGAAACGGGGATTCATCCGGCCATCCACGTCACCCCTGTCTGCACCTGTTATCTTTGTTAAGAAGAAGGGTGGAGAGCTCCGCCCCTGCAATGATTACTGGGCCTTGAATAAAATAACCATTTGAAACCGCTACCCTCTGCCATTGATCAGCGAACTTTTTGATCGCCTTAAGGGGGCACGTATTTATACCAAGTTGGATCTCTGTGGCGCCTATAATTTGGTGCGAATCCGTGCTGGCGACGAGTGGAAGATGGCTTTCGGAACTCGTTATGGCCAGCATGAAAACGTGGTCATGACTTTCGGTTTAACCAACACTCTGGCAGTGTTCCAGCGGTTCATGAACGTCATCTTTTGGGACTTGCTTGATCGCTTTGTGATCATCTACCTGGATGACATTTTGATTTACTCCTGAGACCCCGCTCAGCACACGGAACACGTTCGTCAGGTCTTACAATGATTATGAGACCACCGACTCTACGCCAAGCTGGAGAAGTGTGAATTCAACTTGCAAGAAGTCGATTTTCTAGGTCACATTGTATCTCCCCAAGGGATCCAGATGGACCCAAAGAAAATAGAGTCGGTTCTGACCTGGCAGAAACCCCGGAACCGTAAGGATGTACAGCGCTTTCTTGGCTTCATGAATTATTACCACCAGTTCATACCAGCTTACGCAGACATAACCACACCGCTGACCTGCCTCCTCTGGCCCAAAGAGCCGTTTCTTTGGATTCCGGAGGCAGACCATGCCTTCACAACACTAAAACCCCACTTTACCACCAAGCCCATTCTGTGCTATCCATATCCCTGACTACCGTTTACTGTGGAAACAGATCCTCCAGTGTGTCATGAGTGCAGCTGAAGATCTGGAACCAGAAGGGTTAACTGAGGCTATGGAGAATGCTGAGCAATCAGAAACACCTGAACCACCTCCATTCTCCTTCCCCAGTAGACAAGTTTTGGGCCAGGCTTCGGGGAAGACTTATGACAAAAAGGTTAGAGGATCGCTCGAAGGCTGTCCACAGAAACATACGTTTAACTAGCCCTGAGTATTAACAGGATGGAAAGGTTTCCAGCAGCTCAAGGGGCTGTTTTGCTATAAAACAGCTCCTAGTCAGCTAGAAATTCTGTGGAAGCAACAAGTCAAAACCTGTGGCTTGCAGCCACGCTCCTTGAACCGTGTTCCTGACTCTGGACCCTGACCCTGGACTACGCTGTGTATTTGACTCTGGACTCTGACCTTGGACTGCATTCTGTGAGTTGGTTTGGTGAATAGATATCGGCTTTGCATTCTTGGTATTCCTGACTCTGGACTGGTTTATCGGACTTCAGCTGTTGTAACCCCCGGGAATGTGACACTAAGTGAGGCACCACTGTTCAATGACAGAAAGGGAAAGAGATGGAGATGTCAATGATATTAAATAGCTGAAAGGCCCCTTGAGCCACAAGAGTTTCCAGAATGCTCATCTTGGTTTTATACCAGCAAAGCTCCACCTGGGAGATTGCTTTACATTCTAGAACCAACAGCTGTTGCAAACAAAGAGAAAAGTATATTGGAAGTAAAGACTCTTCCAAGAGCTTCTGTAACAGTTGTTACTGTAAAATCTTAGAAGGACAGTGCAAGCAATTCACGTTCAAAAGGTTATGTGAAAAGCTTTAAAAAGAAATAAGAGAGGAGAAGCAGTGGTTAAATCAAAAGCAGGAGAGAAAGCTTCAGGAAAAGCAATGAGTGTGCCATTTGCAGTGGTCAAAATGGCAGAGTCAGCCAGAGTCTATTGACATCTGGAAAAACTCACCTTGGCTACAAAGAGACTGTTGGTGAGATTTCAGGAAACTTTGCTCGAGAATGTGAGATCAGAAGAGATAGGAGATTCATCTCAGACTAGGAAATGGAAAAGTTCAAGATCCTGATTACCTGTCTTACTTGGAAATATTGTTGTTCCAAAGTAAACCCTAAGGGATAAAAGAACTATGGCAGTGGTCCTCAATGTTTTGGCACTTTAGATCAGTTTAGCATGCATGTGGGAGGCATGCATGCGTGTGTGCATGCATCCGTGCATGTGCGGGGTGTATGCGTGTGTCTGTGCATGTGGAGGAGGGGGAGGTCTGTCTCTGCAGCCTGGTTCTGCCAAGGCCATGGCCTGGTACCAGGCTGCAGACCGGGGGTTGGGGTCTATGGAACAAGCACCAGATTTCCTTGACCTAGAGATTGGGTATGAGGTGGAGAGAGAACGTCAATGAACTCATGGTGATGGAGGATTCTTCAGGAGGAGAAGAAATAAGCATTATATGTATATACAGTATTATTACATTTGGAAAATGAGTAATTACTAATGGTCATTAAAACAGACATAATTAAATGCTAAAAATATTGAGTGATTGTCAAATGGTTTGGACTTTAAATAGGCATATGAATGTGCCAATCTAAGATAAACCAATTTTACTAAAGAAAAAAAATGTGGTAAGTGTAAAAGTGTAAAAGGCAGAGAAGGAAAAAAAATGACTTTGTAATAAGACCCGTGTAGGTTGTAATCCAAAAGTCCATGTTGGCAAAAAGCTCCATTCAAAGTTATAATCCATTTTGGGAAAAAGCACATGTCTGTCCTTTCTCAGTCAAACTCCATTTTTTCTCTTCTTCTACCAACTTCCTTCTTCTTCCCAGGATGCCTCATAAGGAACACCCCCTCCTGGGTCTTGTTGTCCCGCCTAACTTTCTCATGAGAGCTTGAGTCGTTATCATGTTTTGTGGCAGAATTATTATGACTACCAGGAATGTAACTCTCTGGCTCTCCTTAGCAACTAGATAACCAGAGAACGAAGCTTCTCTGAAACAGCATGTAAAATTTTCCTACCACAGACGCAGACATTAAATCAAGATGGATGCTATTGGGACAATCTTAGGACTACATATCCCATTCTAATACACATAAAAACACAAATCATCACATTGCTATCTTGCTGTCGGCAAGATGATTGGGCTACCCTGCTACCCCTGGCTGAATTTGCCTACAATAACGCTGTACACTCATCTACAAAACAGACCCCATTTGTAGCCAACTATGGGTACCATCCTTGCTTTTTCCCGGCTGTCCTACCGTCAACCGTGGTTCCTGCTGCTGATGCTCACGTACGCGAGTTGCAGGCTCTCCAAGACTTATTCTGACAGCAGCTTCAGCAAGCTAAGGATGCCTATAAGACAGTGGCCGACAGAAAATGACAAGAAGAGCCACCTCTGAAACCAGGGGACCAGGTCTGGCGTTCCACCCGTTATCTTCGCCGACCTGGCTGGTCACCCAGTTTTCTATTGGTCTCTCCTTGTTCCTGTTGCAGTACCGGACCCTGCCCGACCTCCACCCCTGGCTCCACCTCCGCCCATTTTGGTTGACTGGGAGGAAGAATACGAGGTCCGTCAGATCCTGGATTCCCGAATCCACCAGGGAGGTCTTCAGTACTTCGTAGATTGGGAAGGTTACGGCCCTGAGGATCGATCATGGGAACCTGCCAATAACTTACACACCCCCGACCTTGTACAGCAGTTCCATGCCACCTATCCTGATCGACCTGGCCCATCTGAAGGGGGGAGCCCTGGGGAGGGGGATGTTGTCATGAGTGCAGCCAAAGATCCAGAACCTGAGTCGTTAACTGTAGCCGAGGAGAATGCTGAGTGATTAGAAACACAAACAGCTGAATCGCCTCCAGATTCTCCTCCCCCAGTAGATAGGCTGAGGGCCAGGCTTCGGGGAAAACTTATGACGAAAAGGTCAGAGGATCGCTTGAAGGCTGCCCACAGAAACATCCGATCAACTAGCTCTGAGTTCTGACAGGATGAAAAGGCTTCCAGCAGTTCAAGGACTGTTTTTACTATATAAACAGCTCTCAGCCGGCTGAAAGTCAGTGGAAGCAACAAGTCAAACCTCTGGCTTGCATCCACGCTCCTGACTACCTTGAACCTTGTTCTCTGGACCCTTGGCTTTGGACTCTAACCCTGGACTACGTTGTGCATTTTGGCTTTGGACTCTGACCCTGGACTATGTTGTGTGAGTTGGCTTTGGTATTTGGATATTGGCTCTGCATTCTCTGAATTTCTGACATAGGACTGGCTTATTGGACTCTGCTGTTGTAACCCCTGGGAACGTGACACTTGCTGCTCATCTGCCCCGGCAGCCTGGTCCTTCTAAGGCCACGGACTGGGACCAGTCTGTGGGCCGGGGGTTGGGGACCCCTGCCTTTTAGCCTTGAGTGTGGCTGCGTGCTGCTCCAATTCTCTCACTTTTTCTTCTAACAGTGCCACTAGTTTGCACTTGTTACATGTGTACGCCGTGATACACTCAAGAATAAAGACAAACATAGCACAACCTTTGCAGGTTCCTACGAATGAGTTGTTAAGCTCCATAATCCCTACTAGCTTTTTTACTTTCAACTGATTCTTTATGAATGCCTGTCCCTTTTATTTTGATACTTTGGCTGTAGCTGGAAGTGTCTACAAATATAAAACTATATCCAAAAGAACCAAAAAAATTTTGTTAGGGCCTTCCCCTTTGTACTCCCATTTGCTCGCTTGGGTCTCCATGGGTCTGCCTCAGCTTTATTCCTCAGGTGTGCTCTGTTCTGTGTGCATTGTGCTTTCCTCTACAGTCCCCACCCCCCAGCTAGTGCTTTTCTCCTGTTTCTCCAGACATGAAAGCACTCACAGTGGCTTCTCTGCCTGCGGAGCAAGAGAAAATCTTCTTGCACATGCCCCCAGATGAAGGCTGTAGGGACCCATAGGGACTAGGAGACCTGCCAAGTTTTTGGTCAGGATATCATCTGTAGTGGGGGTGAAAGACTGAAGTAGTCCCATAATATCTGAAAGCCTAAGAGCTATGGGTTAATATGGCCCTGCTTCAGACACTTCTGTTTCTAATCAGAATCTGAGACTGAAAGTAAAAATCCATATTCCTCCAACTTTGGCTAGAGAATCCTAAAACAAGCTGGAAAAGATTGCGGCACTGTCTCCCTCCTTCAGCCATCCCTGGGATAAGGAGGCAGTTTGTACAGACTTCATGGCCTTCGTCACCTAAGCCATTTTAAAAAATAGACAATACCTTTATGGACCACTAAAAATCATCACACAATACAGTGGTGCCTCGCAAGACGAGTGCCCCGTTTAACAACGAAATTGCATTACGATGAAGTTTTTGCGATCGCAAAAGTGATTGCAAAACGATATTTCCTATGGGGGAATTTCGTAATGCGAGGCACCACTGTAAACCCAACGTTCGTGGATTAAACAGCACTTCATCAGGATTGTACCAGTGTGAAGAACTTAAAAGTCTAAAGTCCATCATCGTATGATGATTTGTGGTGGTCTATAAAGGCATCACCTATTTTTACATTTAGATTTTATTGTGTTTGGACTACATGACTGCCCTTTACTTAAGTGGAACTACGAGGATACCAAGAAATAGCTGCCTCCTCTGTATCAACAGGAGGATGCTTGGACTCTCAGCATCAGCAGATAAGGACTGCAACTACTAGGTAATGACATTTTGGCTTTAATCTTACCTCATTTAGCTAAACTTAATGAGTTTACTTAATTATCACCCCAATTCTTGATGGAGGACTTAAGTTTTTCTGTGTCACTGAATAACAGTACCAAATCAGAAACATATCTGTTCCAAACTAAGGCCAAATGGGGAGATGTTTGTACAGTACACATATACCTGTGCTTCTTTGTAGATCTGGCTACCTAAATTGCAAGCATAAAACAGCAACCAGACTCCTGACCTCTAAGGGATGAAAGCCTGGGGAATTGCCTAAAACAGCAACCAGACTCCTGACCTCTATCTAAGGGATGAAAGCCTGGGGAATTGCCAAAACCTGCTGGACTTAGCATCTCAGAGAAACTTTCCTGGCAAAAATGCATCTTGTTTTTGAATTTAGTTATTCACATCTGGTATAATCCTGATGGTGTTTAATCCACGAGGGCTTGGTTTATTGTGTGATGATTCTTTAGTGGTATATAACATTTGGATGTTATTTTGTTTGGACCACACAACTGCCCTTTACTTCAATGGAACAAAGTCATTTTATAATTTGAGATGATTCTTGAAGTTTGTTTATATTTATTTATTTAAAATACTTTTAATCCTGCCTTCTTAAAAGGATCTAAGGCAGCCAACATCATTTAAAGAAATATTAAAGCTAAAAATGAGTATACAAATACTAAATATACCCACCAGGAAATTGTATCTATAGTTTAAAATCAGATAATCGCCCAAGAGACTCCGTGTTCAAAACACGAGCATTTTCTTGGGAGTATGCCAAGTATGGAGGCTACACGGCTAAAAAAAAAGGAAAAACGAAAAAAAGCCTGTTGGCCTCAGTAGAATGGTCTAGCGTGGGACTCCAAATTTGTCGGTCTGAGCTCCTGCAGTTGCGCCGCAGTGAAGCTGTTTTGTCAAAGGGGAGAAAACTGTTAATCTTTAAAAATTTGCACAAGCAGCACTTTCAGATGCTTCGTCGCTCGCCTCTATAGAAAACCAATCGCGAGGGAGCAACAACACAGCTCGGAGGAACGACCAGCAATTATAGACTACAATGCCCAGCATGCCCCGCGTAGAGGGGAGGTCAGTTATTTACGCATGCGCTGAGGCGTCCTTTATCGCTGTAATGCTGCGACGCGGCTGAGAGGCCCCCGCGGGGAGGGGGAGGAAGAGTCCCTTATAAATGGCGCCCAAGCAGGACCCCAAGCCTAAATTCCAAGAGGGTGAGCAGGCGGGGGGGGGGGTGGGGTGGTCAGGGTAAAGAACGCTAGAGGTCTTCCGGGGAAACCGAACTGCGGGGTGGGGGGTGCCCGTTGCCTGTCAGCTGCCCGTCAGTAAATACTCTGGAAGGCGTTCTATTCAGGGAAGAGGTCCTTCCCGCCAGTTCCCTTCAGGAAAGCGGGGAGGGGCTGGAGGGAACGGCATCCTGCTCCCCCTTCCGGAAAAGGACGGCGAGAGCGGCTTTTGTTGGCGCGCCTTCTGGAGCCCAGTTTGCCGCGGGAGCCCCGCTCGCTTTCTTGCGCATTGGCACGTGCTTGACGAGGAGAGCTTGCGAAAGGGACCGCCGTGGGAGAGTCTCTGCTACGGCCTTGAAGGGCGAAGAACCTGCCTGCTGGTCCGCCGCGATTGCGACCTCTGCACGCCCCCCCCCGCACGGCCCCCGTCCATCCTTGTAGCCCGTAGATTTCCTCCTTCTCTGCAGTTGGTTGATACAAACGCCCTGAAAGGGTGCTGTCTTTCATGCTGTCTTCATCCGATGTTGTTGTGCTGAGTCTGCGTCGTGGGGAGGTCACTTTGCCTGCCTAATTCTACATTTCCTTTTCTTGGGGGGAAAAACGTCGTTCAGCTGTTGAGTCTGGACGCTGTGGCTTATACGGGCTAGTTCCCCTTTAACTTTGAGTTGTAAAGGCAGGCGTGTTTCAGCTTGAAAAGGAGGGTATTCAACTCAAAATTTAGCGAGAAATTGGAGTTATTTCAGCTCGGATGAAATTTCCTGCTGTTTCTATGCATCAGTACAACTTAAAACTACAAATATGCAATACTGCAGTCTCTATTTTGTCAATGTAAATGCTTAAATATTGATCTCAGACCATATATGAGACTTTGGATGGAAGAGGTGAAATAAGTTACTAGATCTTATTTGAGCAAAAGATGCTTCATGTTAGTATAGTTGCCAAGATTTTAGAAAGGGAAGAGTAATAAGAAATAATTACAAAGCTTTGGTTTTATAAAAATTTATACAGTGTATGTGCAAATGCGTGTATAGGCATGCTTTCCCTACTAAATGGAAATTTTCTCACAGGTGAACGGGTGCTGTGTTTCCATGGACCTCTTCTTTATGAAGCTAAGGTATGTTGGCTGTAGTTTGCTTTGGCAGTCGACATTAACTCATTCATGGCAGTGCAATAATGGATTAAGGGTGGGGATGTGTGCGCTATGCTAAAAGCTGTTTTGGGGATGTAGCTCATATGTTTAATTTACATACCATGCTTTCCTCTGCCAACATTCTTGCACAGAAGCAAGCCTGTGCAAACACAGCAGCCACAAGCACCCAGGATCACTTTCTGTGGCCTACCTCATCCTGAATTCCTTTTGAAGTCTTCTGCAGTATTGATCATATTATATTCCTCATGGTACCACAGCAGCTGCTGATGCAAATAAATTGGGACATATTCTTTAATCAGCTACCATTTTCTCGCTGCAAGGGATACTCAAGGAGCAGGATGGCCACATTTTCCATGTAGGGAAGCTCCCATATTGCAAGGGACCCTATTTGGTTGGGGAACTGCTCAAATAGGATGCCTAGTGTAACTGTTCCAGCCTCAAGTGGCATTAACATTTTGTAATATATTTGGCTAGTTACTGAACGTATGCTCTTTTTTATTGTAGTGTGTAAAGGTTGCCATAAAAGATAAACAAGTGAAATACTTCATACATTACAGTGGCTGGAATAAGAAGTGAGTATTTCTATTTTTTCTGCTAGAAGTAAAAGTAGTAATTAATTTATCTGAAAATGTAAGGTAGTTACCAAATGGTTAGAGCACTGTGAGCGTGACTGGGTGACTGAGAACAGACTGCAACATACATTAGGTTGCTTCTCTGATAAAAAAAGTTACATGGTTCTTCAGAACAGCCTCTGTCTAAGATCAAGATGACAACTTGGCCTTACATGTCCATGATGTAGTAATTTCCAGGTTTACTGTAGCATGCTTTATGAAGCTACCTTGAAATTGATTAGAAAGTTAACAATTGTTGAACATATGGCATCGTGCTGGCTACTGGACTTAGTCATAATCTCATTACAGTAGTTTGATATACTAGTTGCATTTGCTGTCAGTCAGGTTCTGATTGCAATTCAGAGGGATGCTCTTTACCTTTAGAACTTGTTATAGAGTAGGATGAAGATAGTTGTCATCATCTATATCTGCCTGTTCTTTGAGTTTGTTAGTAGATTTTTTCAATTGTAGTTGATTCTCTCACGAGATGTACAGGAGAGTTACTGAGGAAAGGGCCTTTTCAGTTGTGATGCCAAGTTTTCAGATCTACTCCCCTGGCACAACTATTGTGTAGTTTATTGCCAGGTGAAGCCTTTTTTGTTAGCTTTAAAACTAGAAATTTCATTTTAACTCCTACTAAATCTGTTGCTATTTTTAGCTGTTCATCCTGTAGGCAGGCAGTGCAGCATGGCCTCCAATTTGAAGAGACATTTGTTCAGCAGGCTGAGGCAAAGAGGCAGTCCCGAAACCAGCAAAATCAGGGAGCTGGACAGGGGACAGATTGTATTTGTCTTCAGTGTGGAAGGGATTGTCACTCTTGAATTGGCCTTCTCAGCCACACTGATGTTGTTCCAAGACCTCTATTCAGAGCATGTTACCATAGACTCTTGAGACTGAAGGATGCCTACGTATCGTTTTAGCTGTTTAGAATCTTGTTTTAATGATGATTTTGCTTATTTTATTGTGGTTAATAATTTACTTTAAAATAAATAAGTGTATACATGTAGTCATGTAGGCTGTCAGGTTTTTAAATCTCCTGTTAGAGAAATAGTTATTAAATAGTTAAGTTCACATAAGTGAGGGATGCAAGAATCTACCAGGCTAGCTACTGCATTCCTTCCAATGGCTCCATTCGCAAACAAAATGGCTAAACAAACCACAGGGTACAGTCAACAGGTTGTTTATTGTGGTGGGCAAATGTTGTAGCAGCTGGCACTCTGACTTGCTTAGGAGAAACTAGTTACAGTGGTCTCTGAGGTCAGATTTGCACCCAACTCCATAGGTTTTTTAGCTGTTCCTACTCTAGCCATGAACAGTTGGAAATCCAGAGGAACATGCTGGGTTATCCTTGTTAAATCCTTGTTCTTCTTGATGTGTGAGCTGGATTGTATGCCTGTAATATCTTAGTATGCCCATTCATCATCTAAATCTTCCTACAGTTGTGCCCCGCATAGCAACGATAATCTGTGCAGCAAAAATCGTCGCTATGCGGATTCGTCGCTATGCGAAATTTAAAAGCCTATAGGAATGCATTGAAACCCCTTCAATGTGTTCCTCTGGGCTTAAAACTTACCTTTTAAGCGAAAATACTCCATACGGCAGCCATTTTAGCTGCCCGGTAAGCGAGGAATCCGTCCCTGTTTTACCCGGTGGCCATTTTGGAACTGCCGATCAGCTGGGGAAAAATCATCGCTATGCGAAAATTGGTAAGTGAAACAGCTTACTGATCATCGCAAAGCGATTTCCCCCCATAGGAAACATTGTTATGCGATCGCAAATGCGATCGCAAAAACATCGTCGCTATGCGGACGATGTTTTTGCGAACGCATTGTACTAACTTTCTGATTGGTTGATGAAGAAATTAGAGGGGGAAAACTTGATTTTTTAAAAATGTGAAATTAGAGAAGAGCTTTACAAATATCATGGATCACCAGAAAAGCAAACACATTCTTTTTAGATAAAACAAAGCCTAAACTCTCTTTAGAAGTTTCAGACATATAAGAAGGAAAAGTCCACTGGACAAAGCAATGATGCTAGTAAAAGTTGGGGGCGATAGGAAAAGACCTAAAATGAAAGAGCTTGCCTTAATGAAGGAAACCATGGTCTTCTGTTTGCAAATTCTGAGTAAAGCTATTAATAGGTCAGTAACTCATAGGGTCACCAGAAACTGGAAATGACTTAACAAAATCAAATTTCTAATTTCAATATCATTCCCATAATACAGTGGTGCCTTGCAAGAAGAATGCCTCGCAGGACAAAAAACTCACAAAACAAATGGTTTTGGCAATTGGTGTGGGGGCACGTGTGTGTTTGATGACTCGCAAGACAAATGTTTTCCGTTTTTTGTTCCTGCCTCATGTTTGCTGATTTTTAAATGTTTTTCCATGATATTTAAAAAGTTAAAGTTTTTTGATTGAAATTTTTGAAATCATTTGCACAATATGTATGGCTTTAAAGAGCACTTAAACCCTTTGAAAACCAAATTTGACTTTGTTCTGATTTTTTTGCCCATAGGAACGCATTAATTAGATTTTAATGCATTCCTATGGGAAAACGCGTTTCGCAAGAAAAATGTTTCGCAAGACATTAACTGCGGAACGAATGAAATTCGTCTTGTGAGGCACCCCTGTACCAGTCTTGGTTGTAGAAGGGGACCAGTATTAGAGGGGCAGTAATAATTAGTATAACTGTCATTGCTTCAAGAAAAAGTCATTGTAACATCCAAGAATGAAAGCACTCTGTCACTGATCATGACTTTTCCCAGCTGAATTTTGTTCTGCCTTTTAAAAAATAGTTTTCAGTTATTTGTCAAGTTTAAAAATCCTGACAGGATGTTGAGATGAACAAGGAATATGTTTAATGGGAGAAAGATTAGGGCTTTCATCCTGAAGTTACTGTTGTTGAGCTGATCTTCCACTTCCCTCTGTGTATGTCCTGCATTTTCTGATCAATCCAGGATCATATTATTCAGGACACAGAAATCTACAGTTATTACATTGGTGGACAATGGAGAAGGGGGTGTTAAGGAACTTGCCTTTTTTCTTTCACTGTCTATAGGGACATTCTGTAAGTTGAATTGCAGAGGCGAAATATCTATAGGATTCAAGTAGCATCCCAGTTGTGTGTGCATACACGCATGCATAGTTGTGATATGCAGAATTGAAAAGCAAAGATTACTGTCTTTGTATGATTTAACAGGTCACTGATTTAACAGGTGTTTAAATTTGAAACTTGTTCTCTTTCCTTTCAGCTGGGATGAATGGGTTCCAGAAAGCAGAGTGCTCAAATACGTGGACACCAACCTGCAGAAGCAGAAAGAACTTCAAAAGGCCAATCAGTAAGTCTTGCCTAGTAGTGGAAAACTGAATCAGGATAGTGGTGTGTGTGTATGTGCACAGTAGTTTTGGGTGTCTGTTTAATTTTGTGTAAGAAAATAAAGATACATCTGGGAGGTTGGTAAGGGAGCCTGTTCTGGGGCTTCAGTTCATGTGTCCAAGTTACACATTATGCTGTCCTCATAAAAGAGGCAAAATTTGGCAGGGGGCCAAATTTTGCTCCCTATAATAGACTAAGTCAGAAGCAGGGGATTTTGAACCATGAAAACTCATACTGACATAATTCTGTTAATATTTAAAATTCTCTTTTCCCCTCCTTTCCCCCTTTAATTTTGCCATTATTTGTATGGTTTATGTTTAAAAGGTAACTCAGTTAATTTTCAAAGAGAAACTGTACAAATGATACCAAAATTCATTAATGAGTTTTTTTTTACCAGTTAAAGAACTTATGTGGAAATGAGACAGTTTTATTTTGAGATCATTATGGATTCTATACTGTTATAAAGGGGTTAGAGATGAGCAATTGGTGTGTTACTCTTTCTTTTGAGTAACGCGCAAGTCAGAAACCCTTTGTATCTTAGCAGCTAGTGACCATTCATCATCACCCCTGATCAGAGCACAGCTACACCCTGAGGTAGCTGTGACTTCCAAACTTCAATAGAGATAAATGGTGGAGGACATCCGCTGTGAAAAGGGAAACAAGAGTACTGTATGAAGCTTTCCAGCACAAAAAGATTGTGGTGGGTCTAATCCCTTTTTCTGTACTAGATTGCAAGGTCACTCAAGGATTAGGGTAGAGTGGATAACATACAATCTATGGGCCAGATGTATAACATACAATCTATGGGCCAGATGTGATCTTGTGTGGGTTGAAATGTAGTCCTTCATCATCCTGGAGAGAAAATTGTGGCAGGACAGGAGTTCTTAGTATTTGTGGTTGGGTGCCCAATTTCTTCTTGATAGTTTTCAAAGAATATTGAAATGGGGATAAAGGCAGTTAATTCAACAGACAAATGAAAATTCCAAGGCAGATAGTGACAGATTGCTAATAATGACCCTTTAGAGGAACACTATGTGTACAAGCGAAGATCTAGCAAATGGCTGAGATAACGGTTTTGAAGTAGCCTGCCTCTGGTTGAAAATATTCAAATTATTTTGACATTCTAATTTTGTCTTTATTACATATGCATCCATAATTTTAAATTATGCATAAATGATATAAAGAAAGAAAAAAGGAAGTAAAGAAAGAGAGAAAGAAATGAAGAAAAAGGAAGAAAGAAAGTGGACATTTATAAAGATATCCACAAATTGAAACCAGAAAAATCCCCCAGTGTGAACAGCTTCCTGACCATTTTTTGTACCGAATGAGAGTCTTGTAAATGGTTGTACACTACTTCTTATACGTTTAAGATGTGCCTGCAAGAGGAAACATTCCTTCCTCTTGATTGTAAACCAGAATTACAGCAATTCCCAAGTCTCAGAGTGGAGGTAGCAACATCTCAGTGGATGGACCTATTGCTATGTTTAACTAAGATTTTAAAATAGTAATGGCAGCACTGACCAACAGATTAAATATACTGATTACAAATTATATTGACTCAGAGTATCCAGCTAATTCAATTAGATGCTCACTGAATGTAATTTATTACATTGATATCAAATGCCAGGATGTGGCGGTGCTTTTGCTGGATATTCTAAAAGCCTTTGATAGACTCAGATGGAAGTACAGTGGTGCCTCGCTTAACGAGTTTAATTGGTTCCCAAAAAAACACCGCTGTGGGAAAACATCGCTAAGTGAAACGCGTTTTCCCATAGAGATGCATTGAAAACCGGATAATCCGTTCCAATAGGAACGGATTATCCGGTTTTCTCCCCCACCATCGGTTGCAGCGCTTTGGGAGAAGCCTCGGGGGGGGGGCAAGACGGGATCGGCTCCTTCCTTCTCCCCCACCACCCGGCTTCTCCCAAAGGGCTGTCCCGATGGTGCTTACAGCAGCAGAAGAGGTACCCAGTGGAGGAGAAATGACAGATTGGCTCCTGCCTTCTTCCCCACCAGGCACCTCTTCTGCTGCTGTAAGCACAATTGGGGCAGCCCTTTGGGAGGAGCCGGGCTGTGGAGAAGGAAGGCTGAAGCCGATCCGATCTTTCCCCCCCCGATGTTGCCTATGGGGAAAAATCGCTTTGTGATTTTTCCCCATAGGCCCCATTTTCCCCCAGCTGAGCAGCGGGAGCCTCCGAAGGACTGCTCCCGCTGCTCAGCTGGGGGAAAATGCCGGCAGTAGCCTTGGAAGGACCCTTCCAAAGGGTCCTTCTGAGGCCACAGCTGGGATTCCACTTCGCAGGGGGCATTTTCCCCAAGCTGAGCGGTGGCGCTCCCACTCAGCTGGGGGAAAATGCCTGTGGTGGCCTCGAAGGACCCTTCCGAAGGGTCCTTCGGAGGCCACTGCCGGGATGGTGCAGGGGAAGCCATTGGAGCACTGGCAGGGGTTCCCCGCAACAGCGCACAACAGCTTTGGAGCCCTTCGGAGGCTTCCCCTGCACTATTGGAGCAGTGGCGGGGGTCCCTCCACGCAGCGATGGGTGCTTGCAGAGGCTTGTCAAGCACCATTTTTGAAGTTCCCGCCCTTTTCCCCTGCCTTCGGCAAGCCTCGGAATGGAAAAAGGAAAAAAAAGGCTCCTGCTGCTCAGCTGGGGGAAAATGGGGCCTATGGGGAAAAAATCGCAATGCGATCGCAAAAGCAATCGGGGAAAATGGGGCCTATGGGGAAAAAATCTCAATGCGATCGCAAAAGCAATAGCAGAAAACCCTTCGCTATGCGGATTCATCGTTAAACAGGACACTCGTTATACGAGGCACCACTGTAACTGTTTTCATTAGTAATGGAAGTTAAATATGGGCAGAGGGGAGTGTTTGAAACTACAGTCAACCCACGACTTACAAACGGCCCTAGTTACAAACATTTCGACTTACAAACCGCTCTGATAGAAAAATATTGACTCGCAAATGTAAATTTGAGTTACAAAAAAAAAATGCACAGGAGGTGGGGAAAGTGCGAAATTTGAACTTTCACTTAACTGTTGGCCAGTGAAAAGAGTGCCTGTCTGCTTCCTCGCTCTTCCCAGTGTTTTGAGAGTGGATTTGGAGACAGTCTTCAGACTGCCTGGTATTGCCTGGTACAGTGCTGTATGGACTATTTTTATTTTTGGCTTTTTTAATTTTTGGATTTTTGAAAGATCTTCTCTCCCTCCTTTGCTGCCCCCCTTTTCCCCGAAAGGTGCTTGTATTGGCTTGTCTTGATTGAAAAGGTGCTTTTCAAGGTGATCTGTTGTCTGAAAGGTGCTTGGTTTTTCCCAGAAGGTGCTTGTCTTGTCTGAAAAGGTGCTTTTCAAGGTATTCTGTTGAAAAGGTGTCTGTTCCCTCCTTCCGTCCCTCTTAGTCATCTTAGGTTAAAAGGAAAAAAATAAAAAAATCTGCCCCTAGTGGTAGGAACGGATTAACTGGCTTTGCATTAGTTCCTATGGGAACTAACGATTCGAGTTACAAACCACCCCTTGACCTAAGAACCAAAAACAGCCGGAACGGATTAATTGGCTTTCAATAAATTCTTATGGGAAATGCTGATTCTACTTACAAACGTTTCGACTTACAAACTTCCTTCCGGAACAGATTAAGTTTTTAAGTCGAGGGTTGACTGTATTCTCAAAAATATATGAAGGCTCGCAAGCAATTTTATGACCCCATGGGTTAAATACTCTTCTGGTTGTTGTGGGGTTTTTCAGGCTCTTTGGCCGTGTTCTGAAGGTTGTTCTTCCTAACGTTTTGCCAGTCTCTGTGGCCGGCCTCTTCAGAATACATTAAATACTCTTCCTTTGTAGATAGACAGAGGCACCTGGCCAGAACTCCCCTATCACCTTATTTTTTTGCAGTAGCTCAGAAATCTCTTGTCAATTTAATTAAAACAAATCTACATGTCAAAAATCTAAAACAGGCTTAAAAATCATAAATGGTATGCAGATAGTGGCCAAAATCCTGTTACTCAGTGTAGAAAATAGCCTTAGAGTAGGTCCATTGAATGAATGGGATTTAGTGAGTCTGCTCCGCCATAAAATAAAGACCTATTTTAACTTTCTAAAAAACCTGTAGTTGCTGGAATAGGCCCATTTGAATCAATGGACTTTATAGAGGAGTTGACTCACCAAATTGCCATTGATTCAAAGGACCTCCTCTAGTGTGATTTACCAAATTAAACAACGGGATTTTGTCTGCTGTATTACTTACTGTTCCTCACAAAACCTGACTCAATCCACTCAGCTGAAAGAAAACTAAACACTTCAAAAAATACAAAGACTGGAATTTTAACAAATCAAAAAACATGAAATTGGAAACCCAACTCAAAAAATAATAAAATTAATACTACACTTAGTTACTTAAGTTTCAAATATCTGGGGATTATAATAACCAGATACAGTGGTGCCTCGCTTAACGATTTTAATTGGTTCCAAAAAAAACATCACTATGGGAAAACATCGCTAAGCGAAACACGTTTTCCCATAGAGATGCATTGAAAACCGGTTAATCCGTTCCAATAGGAACGGATTGCCGTCCTTAAGCGAAAATCGCCATAGGAAACATTGCTAAGCGATACAATGTTTCCTCCAGTGGAATGCATTGAAGCCTATTCAATGCATTTCAATGGTCTTGCGATGTCCGTTTTTGCAATTTTTAAAGTGTCGTAAAGTGTTCAAAAACTGTTTTAAATGCTAGGATTCGTTAGAGCACCTTGTAAAACGTGTGCAAACTTGGCTTTGTTCTGGGTCTTCGTTAATATTTGGTGAATTTTTTCTTCCCCATTGGAATGCATTGAACCCGTTTTTGACAGCTGTCAGAGGGGAGAAATCGCCACATTCTGGGACTCTTTTGAGGCTTGGGAAGCTTCAGATGAGTCCCAGAACGTGGCGATTTCGCCCCCTCTGACCCCCAGGGGGGAAGTTGTGCAAACTT